GTGATCTGGCGAAGGTGCAGCGTGCCGTCTGCATGTTGAGCAACACGACGGCAATCGCGGAGGCCTGGGCACGCCTAGATCACAAGTTCGACTTGATGTACGCCAAGCGTGCCTTTGTGCACTGGTACGTCGGCGAGGGTATGGAGGAAGGCGAGTTCTCCGAGGCTCGTGAAGATCTCGCAGCCCTCGAGAAGGACTATGAGGAGGTCGGTGTTGACAGCGTCGAGGCCGAAGGTGAAGAAGAAGGCGAGGAATACTAGTCTTTTACAGGTGTCACTTGAATTGTCATGATTTTCGGCATTTTCTTCGGTAATTAAATGTTTTTTCTTCACCCAATTCACGCTTCGTAATTTCTCTTTTCACCGTTTGGGGGTGTTGACTTTCAACCGTCTGTCCATCCAAGTTTTTTCTATATAAATTGTGCCTCAAAGAGATCTTTTCGCTTTCCAGTCGTTTCCATTAACCTCATTCTTAACACCGACTAATTTGTACCGCTTTGGTTGAAAATGAGGTATTTCTCTCATATTTGGACACGTTTGTCTCATTTGGCACAGCACGTACGCTAGAAATTGGTCAAAAGCCGTCTAAGCGTGTATATTCTACCATTGGTGAAATTTAAGTACAGAGTTCGGGATTAACTCACTTAAAAATGTAGTAAGCCCAATTTTAACTTTGGGGCCGTAGCATTAATACCCCCTTATGTCTTATGCGCTTAGTTCCGGAGATACTTCATCCCAAAATATGAGTTAAATAGCTAGCTTATCGATAATAATAATAATATTAATAATAATAATCAATAAGGTGTAAACGAACGCTGGCATTTGGATCAACATAAAGTTACAGGGCGACCGGAAATTTTTCTTTAGTCGCGACTCATACTCAGACAAATCACGGGCGCTGAGGGGTAAATTCAACCACTGAACCGCAGCTGCTTCCCCGAAAGGCACCATAAAGCATTAGTACTGGTTCTCTTAGTTTATATTTGCTATTTTAAAGCCCTAAAAGGCTTGAGCTAGACTAGGTTAAAGCTAGCGATATAGTAAGAACTGCAGTTGGGGGTGGATTAGCACTGAACAAGTTTGAGGGTAGGCGATTTTATGACAGCCCAACAGACGATCGTTTCCAGTAACCCGGAATCAAGCCACTGTAACTGTGTACGCACTCGGCCTATCAAAGTGCCAGCTTGACCAAAAATAGAGAAGGTCACAGATGAAGGGCAGGTATCCGGTCCCTAATGGAGTTGCATGTTAAGGTTTGTGCGAAAGCGTAGAAGGGGATCACGCGAATAGCCCACGTTATGACCAATAGATGGTGCGGACGTCGGTGAACATGCTTGGAACAATGTGGATTTGCAAGCAGAAGAGAAGGTAGGACCGATAAATTACCTAGCGATACTTTTCCCTTGGTGAGCGTAAATCTGGCGTGCAGTTTGTTTGCGCGCATAGGGTCGGGTTTTCGAATGGGATGGCGGTCGCTTTTTCTGTTCTTGGAATACTTTAGCCAAATGCTCCTGAAAGGCAACTAGATAACCAATGGATCATCAGGAAGATTTACTTGACAGCTAATCGTGCCAGGGTATGGCTTCATCTTCTTCCCGTTATGCTTACATGTCGCTCTCCATTTTTTTCTTCGTAAAAAAAAAACAAAACTGCCCTCATCAACAGACCCCCATTGAATTTTGAATGCTTCTGTGAAATGCTAGATGGAAGAAAGAACCAGTGGTCCAAATCCCTCCGACTTTGTCCAAAAAGCCTTCAATGAACTAACTAGGTTATTTAAGATATTAATATCATTGCTTTCCACCGCAACGACCGCATACTGACCTGTTGGGCTCCAATGAGCGAACCAGCACCAGATGATCACAGACGAACTCGAACACAAACTTCGATCGAAAAGCACAGGAGGGACAGACAGAAGTTGTCGCAATACTGTTTCCACACTCTGCGTGCACTCATCACCTCAAGTTTTACGACTTGGTAGGTGGATGGTTTTCGATGGCCCTTACCACTAAGGAAGGGTGACTTCAATCACCTCAGTGTCTGCTAGTTTCCGACGTACACTGAGAACGACTGACTACTAGGGATGCACTGATGCCAGCCACGCATTTCGACGTTGCTACCCGGTCAGATTGGTCACGATTGTGGACCATAAAATGTGAGTGATTTATGCTCACACAAAATGTCCTACTGAATGAACAGGTCGTCTTTCCACTAAACAAGTATTGACCTGTAGTGGAATTCGAGAGCCGTTTGGGATGACTTTCCAGCCCTCTATAGAGAACCGCTGCTTACCCTATCGCTGGGCAGAGGCTGAAAATGTGCCCTACCACCCTGCCCCCCTACAGGTTGCCATAATTAGGACCATCGCTCTAGTAGCTTGGAACTTGTGTTCACTTTGGAATAACCTACTGAGCAATCGAGTAGAAATAAGGACAGTCTCGCTCATCCACGAACTAGTGGGCTGAAGATGGACCTCATGACTTACAGCGACAGCAGATTCGTCGTACGGGGAAACCCGGAAGAGACCCCTTGTTGGATACACCTTCTGAAGAGGACTGTCGTCGTCAGAGCGAAGGGATACAAGTCTTGTCTTTATTAAAGGTAAAAGCATGGTGAGACGAAAAGATTTTCTGTCGCAGGGTACTCACGATCGCCTCCGGACCCTGCGTCTATCTCTACTCAAGAATAAAGGGTGCTACAACCGTCAGAGACCACGTTCTATCCCTTTCGCCAGCAACTATTTCTGATGACGTAAAGATCAAGCTGTGTGAAGACAGCAGGCCATCGTAGCGGTTGTGCCTGGGGCGCACAATCTTATTGGCCATGCTGACGGTGCTCAATAATGACACGGTGAGATTAATTTATTCCCAACAATAGCGTCGAATGCCCCTCTATCACAAACTTATCTACCTGGTAGGTTTATTAGGTCGTCGCAGGATTTGCTGCTGCAACAAGAATGACTTTCTCCTCCTGCAACCGTTTACATAACAGAGTCTTCTAACCAACACAGGCATGACAGTTTTCAGCGAGATACGCGATCCAGACCTTGTCAAAGCACCTCATTCTACCTTGTAACGTGGACAG